TGTATATATATATGGGCTGGTTCAAATAAAAACTAGTCCTGATGTTGAGAACCGTGAGAACCATATTTGATGCTATTTTTAATTGTATATGATGCTATTTTTAATATTACATGATGCTATCATTTTCACAAATGCTAATATAAATTGTGTTGCTATTTTTAATAAAATATATTCTGGTTAAAAATAACACTAAATTACAACCAATCATAGCACTTCATACAATTAAAAATAGCGGTTTCTTACGGTTCTCACGCTAGGACTTGGTTCTCATTTGAACCACATCCTATATATATAATTATTATTTTTATATCATTGACGAAAAAGAATACAAAAAATACATATTTTGTCGTCCCCGCATTTTACACTGAAGTTGTGTAAGGATATACTCGAACCACCAGAATAGCGCAAAACGTAATAATCAGTAAACCTAAACGACAGTTCACTCAATTGCGGAACCTTCAGGAGAGCGTCTCACTATCCCTCTTGATCTCTTTCATTGATGTAGATCTCACATTCATTACTCAAGGGTTTACAGTGCAAACTCTCTCTACATTGATGTAATTACCTACACAACTACTTATCCGACCACAAATCTCTTGTGATTTTTGTAGTTTGAATCCCTCAAACTAATTTCAGTAATCCCTTGTGGTTTCGTAGTTTGAATCCCTAGCTGGTCGGAACGCACAATGCTCACCAAATAGAACAATGTGTGTCCCCTTCAGCCTAGTTCAATTGTTTCAATATTTTTATTTTATTTTGCCTGATTTTTTTTTTTGTTTTTGGTACAATATTTTGCCTGATTTTGAATGTGCATCAATGGCGTTGACTTTTGAAGACCCAACCCCGACTGCTGACCAATTCATTGGTGAGTCATCCTACATCAAGTGGGTTATTTATTTATTGATTGATTCTGACTTCTGGAGAACTTTTTGCAACACCGGCATAGGTAAAAGGCATAACCCAATTTGAATCTCCACCAGCAATTTTAATTTGAATAATGCAAATACTTTATAATGCAAATGAAAAGTATTTCAACCGGCAAGAAGTTCAATGTTGTTGTGCTTAATCGGGAGTGTGTTGTCCTAAGACGAAAAGTTGAAAAAGTGCAACTGTTATTTTTTCAGCCGATGAAAACTCGTGCGGACATTTCATGAATTTTCCGTAGAGATTTTTATGTCGTAACTCGTGACATGACCTCTTTGGGAGCTGAGAATTTAGCCAATAACTTGATTTATACGTCAAAGTTGTTATGTAGCACGAACTTGAGGACTTAATTCGACTAGATTCAAAGTTGTCAAAAGTATGAAGTACACCGAATTAGAGGAATTCTGAAGTTTGATCATCTTCATCCATTTCTTTCTTAGACAGATAGTGGAGAGATTGAGAGGGGCAAATGTGCAGCTAGCCAACAAGGCAAGAAGTATAACTTAGTATATTATCTATACTATTATCAAATGAAAAACGATTTTATAAAGTGTTGCTATTTACCCCCACTTATTACTACGTACCGCCCCACATTGGACAATTTTGTCCCTGACCCTTTTTCAAAAAAGTGAAAGAAAAAGTAAAAAATTCTCGCCGTCTGGCCGGTAAAACCGGCAGTGCACGGCGCCATCCAGTTTCGCCGGTAGGACGCGATCGTGCACGTCCGCGATCGCCGGCCGGACGACAATTTTTTTTTTATAATCAATTTTTTATTATATTATAATTTAAATATTATTGTGTTATAAATTAGAATTTAGGAATTATTATACTATAAATAACTATTAAACTACAATTTATCTAAATTAACCTAAATTAAAAGATTAAGTGAATTTTATTTTTAATATATTTTTTAACCTAAATTAAGTGAATTTATTTTTAAAATTTTAACCTATATATATATATATACAACTTATTTAGATTTATATATATAATTAATTAAATAATTAAGAAAAAACGTCCGATCGCCGGTGGACGACCGGCGGGGCCGAAAGAGAGAGAAAGAGAGAGAGGGAGAGAATATGAGAGAAAGAGGTAAAGGGCAAAAAAGTAATTGGGGAGCTACGTAGCAATAAGGAGGAGGTAAATAGCGATTCACTTTTATAAAAAGATGAACAGATTAAAAAATTATTATATTTAATATTATTTTAATGGTAAAAATATAATAATTAAATAATTACCAATATAAGGATTCTTAAAAGATAAGGTGGCATAATGACGTGAATATGGAATACTCCTTAAATAATTTTAATATTTTCAAACTTTTATTATTTTAATTACATGTTTTTTAGTAAAAAAATCATAGAAATTATTTGATTTTACCTTAGTCTTGTAACATATTATTATATTTTTAAACCTTAACTATTTCAATTGGTATTGCAAATATTACTCATTTTATTTGTTAACGTCTAAAATGCTTGCCTACAATAATTAAACATAAATCCTTACTTTTGAAAGTCATGATTAATTACGTATGAGAATCGAATAACAAAACAAAAATTAAATAATATATAAAAATTATAAATAAATATATAATATCANTCGGTCTGAATGGATCACTCAGATTGGGTAACAATGGACTCGTTAAACTCGGCCTTGACGCGGTTGATCCGAGCATCTACTGATCGGGTCAACTCGATTTTACGCGGTCGATCCGAGCATCTACCCGATCAAGTCAACTCGATTTTACCCTACTACTATAATTATCTTTTAAAATAATTTTAATTAAAATATAATAAGTGTATATATATTTATCTTGATTAATAAAGATCATTATTTTAAATTTTATTATATTATCCTTATAATGTTTCAATTACTAATAATACAAAACAAGTCAATAAAGAAGATGTAATAATGACTTGTATTAGAAAAAAATATGAGTAGGTATGTAGAACAAAGAGAAATGTAGAGAAATCACTGTCTTTAATTTCACAAGATACAAATTAAGTTTAAAGTATTATAATAAAAATTTACTACAATTCCAATGTCATATTATTTTCATATTATTAATAACATAATTACATATAGCATAATTAATAACGGTTGATGATATAGGATAGCACACCAGGTAGAGTAAACTCAATGAACAGGCCGACCATGTCGAGCGAATCGACTGGTCAAACAGAACTATTCAAAGATTAAAGGTGGTCGAACACCACCAACGCAGAACAAGGAGTCTTCATGACAAAGAAGACATGAGGAGTTTAGAGAGACAACAACAGGTCAAGCTAAACGGTCGTGCGATCGACCAGAAAGGACGACACTTAGGCTCAGAACACGCAGCATTCTACCTCAAAAGGGTTCTAGCAGGTCGCACCATTAAACGGTCTAATGAGTAAGACTAAGGGATAAGAAGGAATCTCAAAAGGGATAATAACCCCACGTGGCCTAACAGATTTGAGCAGTTCGGGCAGTACGAAGGGGCAGTTCGGGCAATCCACTCGATCAATCTTGGGCAACAAGGTATCATCTTCCTATATAAGGGAGAGAGGTATGTCCATTATCACGTTACATTCTCCATTATTCTATACACTTATATTGCACTTAATCTTCTACAAGTGCTAACTTAAGAATCTAAGGCTCTTCACTGGAAAAGCCCTCCGGCATGAGAGTTCTTGCAGGTCTAATGGCTTTTAACCGGCAAGAAGATCGAGATAAGGCTGAATCCAGCCGGTCGGAGGTCTATTGTGTACCATTTTGGCATCGTTTGTTGGAATCTGCTCAAAACCATCAAAGCTTCTTCAATGGCGGCAACACTCCAAAAAAGAACCTTGAACCAACGTTTGATGATGTGTGGCCAAACACGCGTCCATTCAGAGCACTGCCAAGCTTCTATGGCCCTTCTTAGACCCTGATGACCCCAATGCCTCTTAGGCAACTCGTAGGCAGTCCCAGCTGCAGTTACAGGCTCGAGTAACTTGCCGGAAGCTCGGGCAACCCATGGGTCATAGATTTGGCCATTACGCAGCCTGGACGGCCAAGTGGTGGGGCCAACCAGGAGTGATGCGGAACGAGGTCAGTTAGTTACCATGTCGAGGGAAGAGCTGGAATGGATGATTGCCAACGCCATCGCGCCTAGAGCAGTTCAGCAGGCCATCCACCATATGTCCCATGCTACCACCACACCGACCACAGTGGTGGGGATGAACGAGCAGGAGACTGAGATGGATGAGTCAAGCAATGGGGATCGGGGTTCGCGTAGGGATCAAGTTGTAGAGAGGAAGACAGAGCAGATCTGCCAGTTGCATGCGAAGGTGGACAGAAAACACGCTGGTTGAGCTCGAGCAAACCCTTTCTCTAGGAAAATCCTCGGCGCGGTGTTACCACAAATTTCATGGAGGTCAACTTGACATATGACGGATCGACAGATCCATCAAGGAACGTGAGATCGTTCGGGATGACAGTTCTACATAGTTATTCTCACACAATTTGTTGTCGACCATTTCTGGCCACCTTGTGGGGAGGAGCTCAAGATTGATTCCAGTAGCTCTTCCCCAGATCGGTGAAGGATTTTGAGAATTTTATCCAGTATGTTATTTGGTTTGATTAGACTAATACAATTTTTGATTATCATTTAATGCAAATAATAATAATTTGATTTATTTAATTCAAATAATATGAATTTTAACTATCATTCAATATAAATAGTATTTAAGATTGGTGATAGTTTTTTCGATGTAATGATAAATACTAGAAAAATATAAATATGATTCATATAGCAACTATTCTACTTGATTTTTCATCCTAAATTAAAATTTTCCAACGCTCCAAATAAAGAGTTCCTAACATAAATTTTATTTTTTATATAATAATTTTTAATTGAAGGACTTTTGACAAATAAATGGGTAAACCATATTACTGTGTTGCTATATTTAATATAAAAATTGATTTTATATATAACATCATATTTATTTTTAAAAATTGTTTTTTCGTATCAAAATTATAATAAAATCATTTTAATAGATTTTTGTTACATGTATTGCACCAGATGTGCACCCGTACTAATAGATAAAAAGTAGTGAAAAAATATAGAAGAGGGCCCCAATTGTAATTTCACTTATATTCAAAATTCAAGGATCCGTTAGGGGGAAGGGCCCAAATCTAAAAACATCACAGATTCAAAAATCACTTGCCTAAAGAATTTTGCTCATCAGTTTTTTTGAACACAGAAATTTTATTTCAATCTTGAACAAGAACAGCAACAATGGGAAGAATCAAATCAATATCCGATTACGAAGATCTGAGAAAAGCTCGTATTTCCGAAAATCAGGTTTTGCTTCTACTTGTTCTTGTTCTTTTTCTATTTATTTTTTGCATTATTTTTTTTTTTGGGGGTAAAAATAGCAGTGCATTTCTAGATTCAGTTTGTTGTTGTGTTTGTGAGCCAAATAGGCCCGATTAGCCTCTCTCGGGCTCACGAAGACCATTTCGGAGCTCCAGGCCTTGACTTCATCGCCAAAATCTGATAAATCCCATGTCAGAAAATCCCGTAAAGTCGATTACAGTTCAACCCCTTTGCGGCGTTCGGCTCGTTTGGGAGGAAAATCACCGCCATCAAAAGGTGATCTTTAACAATATAATATCTCTTAACCATTTTAATATTTTGCTTTTTTTCTTTGGGCTAAATTACTTGAATAAAGATACGATCTTTTCGTACTGACTTCAAAATCTCGTGTGTATTGGGGTTCTTTTTATCCATTTTCAACGTGTATGCATATATGCAGAAAAGTTGGGCTATTTAGAAGGCGATGATGAGAGTGGGGATGAAAATGAAAAGGGGAATTTTAATGGGCGAAAAATGAAGGCAGTCAAAAGGGGCTTGCAAACGCATCAGATTCCTTTAGAAACTTTGGCCAGAAGATGTGACAGTAAAAGCAGAGGAAGTTTGTATCATCCTGTTTATGGGATTTGCTGCCATTTTTGCAGGTTATATATGTCATTCATTGTTTCTTAGTTACATCATTTGCTCAAAGATTGTATTTTTCTGTACAATTTTTTATTTTTTGTCATTGTATAGTTGTTCTGCAAATCCAGTCAAGACTGTTGCTAAGGAATAAAGGAATAAATACAGATGCCCACCAACATTAGATTAATTAAGGAATAAAAAAGATATTTAGTCATAAATACATTGAAATTGAATCTAATTTAACACTATTCGGATTTTGAGTTTCTCGGTGACCAATTGCTTGCCAAATGCTTGACAAAAAAATTAGGCAAAAGAAACTGTGTGGTGAAGAAGATTGCAAACGTTGCGGTGATTTAGACATGGATCAACCGTGCACAGGTCAGTTTTTAGTCCACAACTATTTTTTTTTTTGCAATTATATAGATAACTAGGCCACAATTATATTGCACGAAAAAACTTTTCTTGCAGGGAAAACGGATTGCTCAAATTGTCATTCTTCAAATGGAATTCTATGCCGAGCCTGTCTGAAGGTCCGTTACGGTGAAGGTAAGCCATATGCTAGATTGGATTGTGAAGAATAAAAGAAAAAATAATTATGGCTGATTATCAAAACTTACCCGTTAAGGTTTTTGTCCAAGTATGAAAAGCCACTAAAACGTTTTCTAATTTACAAATTTTGCAATGGTTGAAAAGAGGGTATTTTTTGGTTAACTATTGAACATCGGTAGTCGTAATTTTGAAATGCCGCACTAGAATTTTGAAATTAGACTATATATACCGGGTCACGATAGTTTTTGCAGATAGGAGTTATCTAAAATTAGTCGAAAATTGTGTTGCTGAGAAATCCTTAATATGTTACACAAATCTTGCAGAATTGGAAGAAGTGAAAGCAAATAAGGAGTGGATGTGCCCACACTGTATTGAAGTCAAAGGAATCAATCCTTACTGGATATGTAACAGGTAACTTGTAAATTATGCTCAGCTCAAATTACAATTATCTTTTATGTTTTTCCTTTATGAAATTTCATTGCCTGTCTAATTTCACGTCGAAAAATAAACAGCTCACTATGTCTGAAGAAGCGAAAGATGGTCCCAACTGGAATAGCCATATTCAGAGGTTAGTTCCCAAGTGCTAACCGCCAAATTTTTCGTATATAAGAAATAAAGGAAGAAAATATGAATGTTGAATGACCTAACTAATATAAATCAAGAATATTGAGCGTGTAGATGAACTTTAGACTAGTCAAGTAATTAAGTCTAAAAAAGTTGTTCTTATTTGTTTCTGTTTTTAAACTTACGGTCTCGATTTTGTGTGGAAGGACAGCGAGAGAGATGGGATACAAATCTGTTGCACATTTACTGATGGACGAGCTCAAACGAACAGCCGCAACATAATCACATGATGATGTATGTCAACTTTCACTAAGTTGTAGAAATGAGTTGCTTTTGATGTAAGAAGGGCTTTAAGTATTATTTGCAGCGTCCAAAATGAACCATGTTTTAGAGATGGGAAGATTTTCAATTTTTATCTGAATCAACCAAGTAAGCCTTTTTGTATGAAAAAGGCATGAGTAAAAGCTTATCTATGCAAATAGACCTTTTCTTCACTAACCAATTAAAATGAATAATGTTACTGAGTATGAGGTGAGGAATCATTTAATGCGTGCAAAAAATGATCTAACTTGTTTTTTACTTGATAACACAATAAATTCCTTGGAGTTCAAAGTTTACAGAACACTGAACAATTCATGTGTAGTTGCCATTTCCAAACTTGGTGGCAACAAGCTTCTTTTAGCCGTTCTAGAAAACGAGGGATTTTTCGTTCAATTGATCAATGTTGTGATGGATATTGTGATTTGTGAATGAGAAGCAACTTGCAGTTTCCTCTCGTGTTTTTGGTCATTACAGATTTCACATTAATTTTCCAATACCAAGCTACCTAAAGGAGTAGAATTGTAGTAATAAGGTCAATGAAATTAGCTAATAATTTTTTCTTTTACTAATTTTTGCAATAAAAGTTGAAGAAGAGTACTCAGAGTGTCATGTCAAATAATTTGTGTCATATTATACTTTGCTTCATTAACATTACGATTTCTAAAAATGAAATAACTTACAGAAATTTACTCTCCTTACAACTCCATTCAATCTTATTTTTTAATTTACGAGCAGATACAATTATTATTAAGAATACCACTAACTTTCAAATACACAGCTACTATATTAACTAAGGTTGATTACCAAATATATTTTTTTATTCAATTTCCTAAAAACTGATAAATATCAGTTACCAATTTTCGCGGTGTATATTCTTCGTTACTATAATTTCTCCTACATCTCTATGCAAATTTCTATCTTCTCCAAATCTCCAAGTTTCAAACCATTGATGCAGCCAAGTATCTCTCTATTGGCCCATGCCGCATATGTTGGTTTAGGCTCCATACTCCGTCATAAATCACTGAGCTCAAAGCTACAATAGAAGAGCACGATGTAAGACAAAAGCGTGAGAAGAAAAAACACAACAGACCTCGACGCTTCCGACGAGCAGTTCATTGTTCATTTTTGTCCGCGTGACACAGCCCCGCAGCCATCACAACCAACTTGGTTGCACGGTCTAGTGTAGTTGTACATAACATATAAGTTAGTTAAACAAAACAATATAATGATTTAGGGTGTAGAGTACGTAACATATACGTTAGTTAAACAGTATAATATAATGATTTTTGTTCAATATAATTTTTATATTTTGGGTGCAGTGTACGTAAATATACGTTAGTTAAACTATGCCAAGCATTAAAGAATAGATTTTTCGATCAACACTGAAACCTTCACCCATAAAATGTTTTAGCAAATCATAAACATCGAATTTCCGATTTTGCAGGGGGCTTTGATTAAAACCTTGAAGGTTGACTCTTCAATCCTAATTTTCATCACCTCTGCAGTTGTAACTAAAAGAGCTCAACAGTGTCATCAAACATACGAACATCGCCGTAGAAAGTGATCATGTCAGTGAAAATCGATTCGGGCGTCTCAAAACTCTCGACATTCTCAATGTGGGCGAGAATTTGTGAATTCTGGTGGATCTAATTTGTGGGTCGCTGTTGAATCAAGATTCTGAAGAGGAGATGGTACGATATTATCTCGTAAGCAGAAAACAAGTCGATGAGATCGGAAAGAAGGTGGGCTTTGAAAATAAAGGATTAATTACGTCTGTTACAGAGAAGGACTAAATTTAAGGATGTAAATGGGTCAGGTCGGGTTGGGTACGGGTTTTGGCAAACTCGAACCCGACCCGCATATAATTTACCCTACCCAAACCCGACTCGTTACCTAACTAGTGATCTTCATGTTCGGGTTGGGTTTTACCCGGCGGGTTAGTGGGTTTTTGTCGGGTAACCGAGTCTTAAATTTGGGCTTTACCCGACCCATCTCATTTCATATGAAAGAATAAAATAAAATAATTTCACAATTAATTATAATTTAACAAATAATTTATAACTAAGTTTGACAATAAAAATCTATAAAAAAAATTATATTATTTTGGAAGCAATAATGAGATATAATTATTTATCTTTTATAGTCTATTTAATAATATAACATTTAAAAATTAAGTATTTAATTTTTTATTGTACAATTAACAAAAAATGATAATAAAATCATAAAAAATAAAATAAAATTTAGCCATCATCAAAATTATAATAGATAATATAATTTTTAAAAATAACACAACTACTTTTATATTTATAACTAGTTATATATATACATGTATGTATATATATAGAAGATTCAATGGGTGCGGGTAAACGCGTAGGGTAATGGATTTTCCTACTATACCCGCACCCGACCCGACCCGGGGTGCAGGTAGCATAATTCTACCCGAACCCGATCCGAAACCCAATCATTCGGGTTTACCCGACCCGAAAATGCGGGTAACTCGACCCTAGGGGTTTTATTGACATCCCTAACTAAATCGATGAGTGATTGCGAGATTCTTGCGATTAAACTGAATTCGTAATTTTGATATTATTGTCTCCATAAAATCTGATATGATAAATCTTTTTTTTTTGCCGTAAATAGTAATGATAAGTATGTAAATTACCCCTTAACATAAGATCAAATGAGCTTAAATTTGTCAAGCATTAACACCATGATATAACCATGTACATGTAGACCCTTGAGATATTTATGGGAGCAACAAGAATACCCATCAATATTTACTGATGAGAACTCATACTGAGCCCTGAGGTATTCAATTATGATTTCAGTATGGAAAACCACACCATATTATTGATAACGAGTAAGATGTGAGGATTCGATAGTAATATATGTGAGGACGTTTATACATTTAAGAAATGCGATACAAATCCAATTACAAGTGTGAAAGTTTGATAAATATAGGAAAAGATCCAATATTTAAATATAGGAATATTTTGTGGTGATACCTCAGCATATCATCCATGTACAGAAAGCATTTGCTATCTCGGTCTTAATGAGCAAGCATACTTTCAGCGAAAGCGGAAACAAACAGAACAACCACATTTTTTGTATTCCTCCATTTTCGTAATGTATAATCTTTGTACTCTGCAGAAAAATGAGGATTAGTATGTTTTTCCATCTAACTACTTGCCAGGTAGGGAATTTATTTCAGAATTTATATTGTGAAGGTCTTGTATGAAAAAAATAAGCAACATTTTTTGTTGAATGTAGTGTGGAGTTGAGTTGGTTAAAATTTTTGTATCTTAGTTCAGTTTGAATGTATTAGCTTTCTTATACTTCTTTTTGCACTGTGAATGACGATGGTGCTCGGATTTTGGATTCGGTGAACTAAGGAAATAAAAGAAAATAAATCAGTTATATCATTAGAAAATAACATGCTCTAATTTTCACACTTTAGATCTTGAAATATAATTCTCTTTTTAAGAAACTCAATCAACATTGATATGCAAATTATCTTTAAATCGAGTTAAACCGGCACCACCACGAACAGTCATCTGTCTCGAGCTCCGGTGACCTGCAATATGTCGTGGATGGTCCTGGTGGAAAAACCTATGATGCTCAAGTCAGTACTCGCTTGTGAGAATGTATAAAATTGTATGGTGTAAGCATAAATATGTGTTACGCAATAATAAAACGTGATCACCGTTTTATATACTAAGATGTCTTGCTACCCAAGTAGAATTCTGTCTTAGAAAGAGATCTAATTGTATCCACTTTTCTAGCTTATCATGTTTCTAGAGTCTCAGACTCCTTAGGAGATACACTTTCCATCATTGAACGATTTTGTCCTTTCTTACCATACTACACTTAGATCATTAGATCGCCAGAACAACCTCGCTACCTACCTACCACAAACCCTAACAGGTCATAACCACAACCTCTAACTTCACGACCTCTTGGTGGTGAGGTCCCCCCCATCTATCCGAGCCCGACCTCCAAGTCCTCTTATCAGGTTGACTTGTACCCCGAGTTGGAAGGGATTAGGGCTTCTAGAAGGGAAAGGAGTTTGATGATTTTTAAGTTTCCTAATCCTAGATTGAAAAGTTCATATTTAGCACTTCTTTAAAATCCCTAATGTAGCCTATAAATACACCATGTCCCAACTACTCTACATAACATTGTGTTAGGCAGAATTTTGTCTTGAAAAGAAGGGGAAAAATTCGACCACTTTATATATTGAGAGTTCGGGAGTTTTGTTTAATCGCACCACCAAGATTATTCGAAGTAGGAGTATAAGGTCATATATTAGAAGGTCTTAAGGTCCAATACATTTTGAGCATCCCAATGAATATATATTATTTTACAAAATTTTCGGCAAACCCACAAGCCGCCAGAAACCGCCTTCAAAACACCACCGAGAGCTGTCGACGACGACCGCTCCCAATTGCGCCCACCTTACACGCCGCATCGAGCCATCTCTCGCAGCCGCACGTTCCCAGGCGAATGAGTGATTAATCGGCGATCCCTTGTACGCCCTGCTCCCTGTTCGTGCAACGCCGCATGCCTCCCAGGCCCGTGAAGTTCGCGCGTCGCGCCCTTCTAGCTCCCAGGAGACTTAACGCGCACACCCCCAACGATCTCGGATGCAACCGCCAGACGCGGGCCAGTTCCCCCACACGACCCGCGCACGCTAACGCCCAGTAAGTAAAGCGCAGAGTAGTCGCGCGCTTCAGGCGATCTGCAAGCCAGCAACATAGACGCCTAATGCGAATCAGACGTCGTGACCCGCACGCCAGCGACCTCGTAGCGCCCAGCGCAAGCACCTGGACCGCGCTCGACGCGCATCGACTCTCAGTGACCCATGATCAATCGAGGAGGCCAAGTTCGGCTGCCCAACGGACTATGCGGTTTAGACGATCTCCTACAGAGAAAGTCTACAGCGTCTTAGAGTCGAAAAAATTTTAAATGGTAATCCTAACTATAGATTCTGCGTTAGGATTTAATTCGTTATATTCGGATGTGCATATCAATCACGTTCCTAATAGAACCCAACATAAGTCTCCATTGAGTTATACCAAGGCTCAACTAGGCCAGGTTTGCAGATTGATCAAGAGTTTATATGGGTTAAACTCTAGAGAATAGAATTGTGAGTTGTTCAATAAGGTGCTAAAATTTGGACTTAAACATCCAAGCCAAGATCATTGCTTGTTTACTCCGGACACAAAGGATGGATTTATTGCTAAGCTTGTCTATGTTGATCATGTTCTCCTCATAGGTTCTAACCCTCACCTCATTTTTTCTCTTGGAGATTTTCTTCACTTCGAATTCACAATCAAAGATTTAAGGCATGTCAAGTATTTTCGGGGTGTTGAAATAGGAGAAGGGCCTCTAGTATGACCCTTGTCAGAACAAATATGTGCTTGATTTGGTGA